ACTGTAAGTATCACCAAAACTAGAAACTGTTACAGGTTCAGCTTGAAAGTTTACTTTTCATGTCCTTTTTCTGTTTGCACAAAGTTCTAGTTTATAGTTAATGCTTCCTCTACTGACATATACAGAATCTATGTCATGTCTGGAAGTACAGCCAAATTGCCTAAGATCTGGCTTTTTCTGTCACCATCTGAACTAGTGTGCATCTGCTTTTCATAGCTATAAGTCTTCATGCACAAATGCAGAATTTTCTTCATGCCGTTCTCAACTTCTATTTTCCTTCTTTAAGCCAAAACTTTTAGAAACAGCCATCAGACGTAAGCTGGTATAAAATGTTAGAGGTCTGCAACTACAAGGACAGTGTAACTTTTTTACAGTAGGACCAAGAGATATCTTGATCATCCTACTTGATTGATAGCGAGCAAGGGAAGTAGAAAATGGCCGCTTAAAACACTGTGTGGTGAATAAAATAACTAGTGAATGAGTTAAATCAAAGTAAACCTGGGAATGCATGATAGTGAAGCTAAACTTGAAAACATTCTTGTTGGATACAGGTTAAATTATCACTAGATTTGATATATTACATCCCTTGTTAATGTCAGCTCAGACACTCACACACCAAAGGAATCAGTACCACAGGCAGGCCTAAAGGTGGGGCCACAAGACATTTGTAGATTCCCTCACAAAACAAGAGGCAATTGTTTTTCTAAGAAAGCATCCCACCTGAGAAATATAACTTTAGTTTCACCTACCTGGGCCATACTTGCAGATAAAATTGTGCTTCATGTTGCATCTATCATCATTCCATTGATAAAGGTATGGCCCTCCCAGACCAGGGTTTGCAGTTGGCTGATGATACATCACAACACAGGCTTCACTTCCACAGGAAGGCTCATCTGTATACCAATTTCTAGCGGTACACAAAGAAAAACTTTCAAATTTTGAAGGTAAGGCTCATCAGGATGCCAAGGAAAGGAGTTTACATCAATGGAAATATGTCAACCCCAATGGCCTCATCCTCTTCAAAGATATGCTGCATTTCCCACAACTCCTCTGTGAAAGGAGTTTAGGGCCTGGGCTCCACATCTCTGGATCTTAAAAAAAAATCTGACCTGTCAAAGCACCTCTGCAGAAATAACATTATATTGCTCTGTTACCTGTTTTCCCTTCTATCTGACTCTTACCTGTCCTATTGTCCTGTCTCCTGTGATCTGCTGCTACTCTGGCCTTTGGCTCAATCAGGAAATTAAAGGCTTTTCAAAAGACAAGGTAGAAACAGAACAATTTACAGTAAGTAACATGCATTAATTTATTTGCTGGCTGGCTCCCTGATTCGAGGTGGCCAGAGTCTTGCAGAATTTGTCTGCCTGCTTTCACACCACATCCTAAATCCTCTATGTGGGGCAGAAAAACCTCCAAAAGCCATACAGAGGCAGATTCATGAGATGGGAGCAAAGAAAATTGTACGGTGAAGCCACACTATGCCATCCTTTTACAGCTTCAAATTCAAAACCCTGGTCGCCAGCTCCCCTTTATCTGGAGAAGTTAAGGAGGGATGCTACTAACTTCACGGGGCAGCAAGTCTTCAAGCTTTTTTATAGAAGACTTGACTTGCCAGGCATTTCACTCTCCATTTCTTTCCATGAAACCTTCTCAATAAGCAGTTTTACAGACTTACCTGAATGGTGAATTACTTCCATCAGCCCACTGGTAGAGGTCAGGGCAAGCAGTTGAGGTGGCTAGTCCATCACCACTTCTCCACAACCCAATCCAGAAATCACCATCAGAAATCCCAGAGCCTGATTTAGTAAGGTTTTGCAACATGTTTTCTATTAGTTGCTGCTCAGCTTCACTTTCCAAGCTCAGTAAAGCCCCACCATCAATTTCACAAGCTTGGCGGGCCTCCTGAAAGCCCACACGTCTAGACAAGTCCTGGAAATAAGCTAACTTGTAACAAGAGCGCTTGAAGTCACCATAGCACACCTTTTGACCTGAAAAATATAAATATGAGAGTGTTCAGCAATGACTATCACAACTGCAAAAAAAATATAGCACAGCATGCATACAGTGATGGAGAAGGACGGTAGGTTTTTTTCTTGTGCCCCTGTCTGAAAGGACTCACGGTGATATGCTGACTGCTGAAAACCTTAGCTTTAATTTAAATTGCAAATATCATACAGTTCATGGGAATCTATGGCTTTCTTCCCAAGGCCTGTGAAACTCTCCAAGACACCGAAGACTCCCACTAACTTCTACAAAAATGTTCTCTACTTTAACGACTGTACCATCAGGCCCCTCTGTTAAAGCCAGGATCTGTTTGGAGGGTATTTTCTTAACTATTTCATACTAATGGACCAACTCCACTTCTATTTGGTAATCAAAGCTATCTGATCAGAAAAAAAAATATTTAAAATTCTCAATTTTAAATTGAGAAATTAAAAGAAGAAGCTAGCAGTTTCCTGATTCTGCTATCCAACCTTGAGAGGGTGTATTCACAAGGACCTCACAAGGACCTGTAAGCGTGTGTGCTAGGAGAGTGTCTGCTCCTTTGAGGGTATCTGGTCAATGACTTTTTTCAGTGGAAAAAGGAATAATAAGAAAAGGAACAAAATATACAGACACAAACCTGACAGGAAAACATAATGAAGAAAAAGACAAGAAAAAACTCCACCTCGTCAGATGCACTAATTGGTAGACTATCAAAAAACTGCAGGCAAACAGAACTTTGCAACTTGATAAGGATGCACATCTGGGGACCCAGGATGGGTGTGGGGGAGGTGGGGTGGTGGTGGGACTATGCAATCTGATGAGGGACCATGCAGAGTTAGGGGATGGGGAGGAACAAAGGGGGAATGGACAGAAAGGGGTATAAAAGGGGCTGTTCACATGTAACATGGGGGGGGCGGGGGGGCCGATGAGGAGAAGGGGACTTGGCTGTCTATGTTTATATGGGTCCTGCATGTGGGTGCTGCTGAAGGCAGTGCCTTGTCTGTGGCAACCTGTGTGCTGGCTGTGTCACTGTCCTCTCTGCGTGGCACTGGGATACCTGCTCAGCTTTCCTCCTGGTTGAACCAGCAAAGGGGAAAGCGGCAGCCACATCCCTCTGCTCAGAGAGAGGCCCTGGGTACCGGGATGGGCACCAGCGGCCGGGCAGGAGGGAGTCCTGGGACTGGAGGTGCTGGAGGAGGCGGCCACACTCTTAACATCCCGTAACACAGCCAACAGAAACTCCAGATATTAGCAGGTATCACAATACTATCTAGATACCATAAAGAAGCCCTGTGATGCTTTCATAAAGCACTAGATCTACTGCATTCACACCATTTTTTCCTTGCCCTTCAGAGTTATGTCTGTGGAAAGAATCAAAAGCCCAATGACAAAATAATGTTTATTCCTTCCAGTTCTTTGGCTGAGAAAGACACATGCCTTTTTCCTAAAAAGGAAAAATAATTATAATCTTCTTCAACTAGTGAGATTCTCTAGAGTTTATTCAACATATACAAGAACTTATCAGCTGCAACTGAACTCCAATATGTTTATTTAGGGACAGGAGAAGGGTTCTAAATATAAGGAAATAAGCTGACCATCTCTTAAAAACTTAAGTTTTTTCAGTATGGAAATTTAGCATTAGAGAAGTAGGAGAACTTATTTTGCTAACTAAGTAAGAATAACTGAAGGATACCAAAGTAATAAGAACTACCAGGCATTATCTAGATTGTTGAGAAATCAACAAATTTTATCGCTTTACTGAAAAATTTGGCAAGGACAGTATTTTATTGCACCATGTCAGTTTTTGCATTTGAAAATCTTGTATTTACTCTCACTCTTAAGCAAACCCAGATACACGACTCGCTTTGGCTTTACCTTTGAACAGGTTTCATCCTGTTTTACCTTAAAAAAAAAAATTGTAATTTGTCACTGGGAAACAACAACATCATCCTATGACTTAAGCTGTACTTAAGCTTTTTAAGCCAGTGTTTTTCTATACACAAAGAATAAACATAGAAGTGAACAAAAAAGCCTAAAAGATACAATAAAGTTAATTCTTCTTGCTTTAGTGTTGCTTCATTTTCATATTTAATGACAAGTAGCATACTTCCCATAACAGATTGCGTACAGCACAAGAGCTGACTGAAGGCTTCTCTATATTTGCACAGAGCATAGTTTCAAGAATTTGCAGAGAATAAGCAGACTGTATCAAAGCTGCATGAACATAGGAACGTAAAAACAGGATCATCCCATGACTTTTAGCTAAATCTGAAAGTAACTCTTATTTTTGGGATCTTTTTTATTGTGGAAAGCTAAATTATAGGGGCAGTAGGGATAAACTATGTTTAGTTTTCTAGTGTTCCCTATGAATCTTGTAATCTTTCTCAAAAAAAAAAAATCTCTGAAACCTTTTCTTTATGATACTCTATTGAAGTTCATCTGAGAGAAGGACTGTCAGTAAGAGAAGCGTCTTTGTGGTCTCATTCTTACTTAGGCTTGGCAGACAGACTTATAAAAAGTCACTTGTTTATCAGTAGTTAATCTGCCAAAATAATACAGGAGCAAGAATAACCTAACGTAAGGACAAGCTTGTGCCACAGGTATCCATGGAAAAAGCTAGGCTCTGAGATAAGGAAGAGAGTACCTATTTGGACTTTCTCTGATAATGTCCTGACAACGCTGTGTATGTCCCGATTCCTTTCCTGCCACTTCCCTTTGTTCATATAGGTTAAGAGCCTTGCTATCAATGAATGTAGTAAGAGCCATAATCCAAGCTGGGCAATGGTGCTGAAGAATCAAGGGGCAGACCCCTTGTTAGAGATACATATAAAATAATGGGGTTTTTTGTAAGACTTCTTGGAACAAAAAGAAAAAATACAAAAAAGAAAAGTTACAAAGTAATAACTCTAAATGCTCAAAAGTAGGAAGTGCAAGAACAAAAGCTGCACAGCTCATTCCCTTCACCTATAATGCTGCAATTAAAATTTTGTTAACGTGATCATCACCTTTTTATTTTCCCCAGCAGCTCTGTCTCATTGACAGGATAGAATGCACAGTGAAGGAGGAGCTGATCAACATTTTGATCCTCACCACTGGGTGAGTGACAATGGCTTATTGCCAGAGTACACAAATGTACATAACAGTGCAAACATCCAAAGGCTAGCACTGAATTATGTAGAACACTAATCATTTATAAGGAAAAGGGACCATACCTCTCCCTGTAACTAAAGATTGGATTCAAAGCATTAATTCAAGATGTATATACAGATTTATGGAGAGTCCTTTGTCCATTGTCTTGTTCTTTTTATTTCCCAGACAATTTTTAAAAATATACTCTTTCATGATTCCTTTCATTCTGTGCACATACTCCTCCTTGACACCAAGTAGTAAGTTATGAGCAAATTCAGGTATCAAAATATCCCTGTCATGATTTCAGTCACGCAGGAACGTTCAATCCACTGAGATGAGTGGGCTGGCCGCTACTGATCTCAACTCCTGTGCTGCACCTCCCATTCATGGGAAAATAGCTAGATTTCCATCCGTAACACATGCATCCGTCCCCCTTCCCGTGTGTTTCTCAGGTGGCTGAAATGCCCCCCTCACTCTCTGTTCTCATGCAGTCTCTGCTCTCCTGTGACTCTCCCAAAACCTGAATCAAATGACCTCTCCAACAAGACAAATGGGTCCTTGCTGGCTAACTGACCAAGCTTCTTCTGGGTACCTATCTCTCAGTCAGCTGCTGCATGGAGGCACATGCTGTTTCTGAGATGCTATAAGGCTCCTGCCCGTAAGCCGTAAGTTGTGCTGCATACTGGTCCAATACAGAGGTTGCATCAGTATCGAGGCTCAGCTCCATCACCCACACCAAGCTGAGGAAAGCAGGTGGGACTATACGGAGCAGGGAGGAGAAGGACAGGCACTTGTGATGCACAATGGCAACAGAGCTGCTCGACAGGTACCACTGCAGCCCCTAATACGTGCCCAGTAACAGCTTGCTACTGTTGTATACTCGGAGCAGGAAGCCCTCTTGGAGCCATCCAGAATACAGATGCGAAGGCCCAATCTGTACCCCAGGGTTTATCTGAAAGGGTTAGTGAGTTAAAATCTTGAAACTTTGTGTGAAGACTTTTTTTTTTCTTCCCCTAAAGTGATCTGAATCATTTTTGAGGATACCATTGTTATTGCAGATGTTTGTGCAGGGTTAAATAACTCTAAAATCAAGTATTATAAAGTGAAAGAATTGAACAAGTGAAAATTTGCGTACAATCCAACTCCTAAATTACTTCTCTTTCATTTGTTGCTCTCTACACCTGTGGCAAAAGAAATAATTTCCTCCTTACAGGCTGATCATTTGTGCAAGAATATATTTCTAGAAAACAACAGAGAAAACAGCAAGAAACCAAGAAATACTTGGCATGAAGACCCATCCGGTGTGAATGAAGTATGTGACGCAGAGTAGTAAGCTTTCTGGAGGAAGCTGCGAATTTTTTTTTGTTCTAGTTAATTTAGTCCCTGTGTTTAGGCAATGACCTACTCTGCATCTTTTCTTTCTTCTTTTGAAGGGGACTTTTATCTGCTGTAGCGGAGCTAGTTCAATGTGTTAATGGAAATCTGCAGTTGTGCCTTAATAGCTGGCAAATCAGTTGACTTATTAGTGCTCTTCTCAGAGCATGCTGAGATGTCAAGTTTTCAAGCTCCATTTTTTACAGCTTTCTTTCACCACTAATTTCTGAAACACAAAGCAGAAATAATTTACCAGTGAAAAATTACAGAACGGACCACATTGTATAGCAGACAAGATAAGTATGGAAACATTAACTATGGGCTATTTTACCTTCCTCTAACATCTTTGCAGCAGACAAGACTCCACTGTTAATTCTAAAGCAACATTTGTTATTTCAACTGTATAAATTGAATTCCAATTTTTCTGTCACAATTGAATAGAAACCAGATTTGTAAGCAAGTCTATTAGAATCAATCAGGCTAAGATACTATGCAATGT